TTTATATAAAAAATTAAATGATTTAAATAGATTATGATAAACAGTATTTTCCTACTTGTATATATATCCTATGTAATTTATTTTTTTAAAATTTGTGACGGAAAAAAATTCCGTCACTAATTTCTGACGGAATTGCTATGGAATTTCCGTCACTAATTTTTTTGACGGATTAGCGATGGCATTGTCTGACAGAAAAATATTCCGTCGCTAATTCCGTAGCTAAATACGGATTAGTGACGGACAGAAATTCCGTCGCTAATCTGTCAAAAAAATTAGCGACGGAAGTTCCGTCACAAATTCCATCGCTAATTTGCGACGGAACAAATTCCGTCGCAATTCCGTTTTTTTTGTAGTGTTAATTCAGTTAGTAATTTGTTATTATATAAAAATTATGGACCACTTTTTCTAAAATTATGTGAGAGACAAAGAGAAAAACTTGTGAAATTAATGAAAATAATACTGAAAAATACTCGGTGGTAAAATTTACTATGTGATTTTAGCAATTGATATCTTATATTTGGCGCTGAAAGAGTAATCTAGCTCTTTCATGCCCGCAGCCAAAAGAACAAGACTAGGTCTTTCAGGTAACGTCACGAAAATAAAATAAGGTATTAAAAAACTTAAATAAAATAATATCTTGGGCTAGGTTGTAAGTTTGGCTTGCCATTCTACTATTATTTTCATCTTAAATATAAAAATTAGATAATTAATTCATAAATATTAAGAAAATTATTTGTAGAAACATATATGTTAGTTTTTCAAAAATATTTCATCTAACCAATCATCTGCAATACAAACTATCATAGTTGACGAAAATTCTTTTTACATGCACAGCCAAATAAGGATAATTAATCTAGAGAAGAATTATAAATTTAAAAAATAAAATAAATTGATATCTTATATTTAGAATTCAAGGTATATTTAAAGTCAGAGTAATTATTTCCTAGATAAATGTATTTGAGGAACATTTACTGTTTTGTAAGAAAAATTATTTTAATGACCATAGGTCTAAATATCCCATATAAGTGTTAATCTAAAGCTGTTTAACATTTGTAAACATTATTGCTTGCAAGAGTTTTTATAGTTTTCAATACAAATTATTAAAGGAGTATTTAGGTAAATCAAACACAAATTTTTTAAAATAATTAAATTAACTAATTTTATTAATCTCTATAACTTAGTTACATAACTCCTATATTTAAAATTGGAGGGATTATATGTTATTTTTTTGGGGCATAGAATTATGAAGTTAAGTCTTTGGGAGAATTCTGGTAAAAAAAAAGGAAAAAAAAGAAGTCTTTGGGAGAATTACATTTGCATGTGACCGGTTCCACGCAACTGAGGTCCAACAAAATGTGTGGCCTACGCTGAAAAGATGACGTTGATGCTTTCATATACCCGATGCTTTGCTATTTCACTGCAACTTTTGGAGGAATAATATGCTAATTACTCTGTTACTTCCCTGCAAATTTATAATTTTCTGCCCAAATTATTTTTATTATCTACATATTAAGAGATTTGATAGTTTCACAAATTAGTTATATATATAGATATATCTTATACTAAGAGTTGGAGGTAGTACTATACAAAAGAAAAATACTTAGATCCCGTTACTTATATTCATTATGTCAAGTTTTCCAATAATATATGACCATGTATTTTATATTTTTCCATATAGATTTATAATGAAATGATATTAAATGCTAATAATTAAAAAATAAAACAAATGGTTATATGTGATTTAAAAACTTAACCTAATAAATATAAGTAACTTGACCTTTATTTAGAACTCAGTCTCACGGTAGGAATTGCATGCATGGGCCTCCATATTGAACTGGGCCACATCCTCAACCCGAAGAGTCGTGCGTAGAAGGGAGAATAAATGATCCTTGAAAATTCCTCACAGTTTGGATGTGAAAAATATAGAGAGAGAAGAATACTGAAAAAGAAAACTTTAAAAAATAATCAATCTTTTTAGGGTTCCAAAAATATTTCCTTCATACTATTTTCTCCCATTACTTTTCCTCCTACTTTTTCTGCCATCCAAACCTAGCCTTTATGTTATCTTCTTTAAATGCTATGTATTGCATGTTTAAAAACTCCATTTTTTTTATTCCTGAAGTATATTCCGATGCTGCATGAACCGTAACAAATTGGAATGTGAGAGACCATTTTGCCAAACCGAAACGCACAAGGTTTGAGAACCGCCACACAGACTAATAATGCAATAGCCCCACCAACACTAACTGATCATTTTTTTCCCATGTTATGGCACGTTTCGTTCATACTCTGTTTTCAGATCTTAACTCTGTTCTCATCTACAAATATCAATATGCCAATCAATGATATTCAATAACTCTCATCAAAAACTCACTTTGAAGGAGCGATGGCCTATGCTCTGTTTTTCTTCACCCTGTTTACCTGCGAAAATTTTCATTGATGTGTTGTTTATAAGATTATCATTTCCCTGGAATGGAATCACTGACCTGATGGAAAAAAAAAAACTTAAAATTCAACCATGAGTGCAATAATTATTACAAAAAAGGGCATCAAATAGTTTTTTTTTTTTTTTCTGGGAACCTATATAGGTGACAATCGTTAGCATGTAATCATTGTCAAAGCAGTTAGGAGAATTCAAAATATCATGGTCAAGTTTGAATACTTGCTCTTAATTTGCTAATTTAAGAAGGAGATAATACCTATTCAATCATTATGGCCTTGCGTTTTCGGGAATTCAAGTGGAACTCCGCCGATTTCCCTTGTTGATCAACATTGTAATATTCTGAGGCATATATGGGGTAGACTCCACACTCTTTGATGAGACGACAACCAGGAGGTCCAAGACGGAATTTGAACAAAAGATTTTGGTCATAAGTGGTGGTTTCATGATTTCTTTTGTTCCCTTCAATTTTCTCGAGTATCAATTCTGATAGCTCTGGATTGGAACCCAGCAAAACATTTCCAGGACCGAAACACTCGCCTAGTGGTAATTCAGTCATTTTAGTCATTTCATCCAATTTAAAGCCGGAGAAAACTTCAAGGTGCTTAGGCTCTACCATTAGGCAGTAATCAGGAACGACGGCGCAAAAAACAAAACCCGCTAAATTATGAGAAGCTGGAGGTAGTTCGACGATGCACGAATCATTTTGGGTCCTATTATTCCCAAACCACTTCGGAACCTTCCTCCCCGGGTAACAAACTGTAACAACATTCTTCTCGTGAACTGCTTTCTCTAACAACAACATGGCCTGTTCTTCAATGGCGCCCAGATCTAAGTTCACACAGTTGATGAATGAAAATAACTTTTCACCATAATTCTCAGATGTGCTTGAAATCGTTGAAGCAGACACCGTCTCCAGCGATTCGCAGTCCGTGACAATCAACTTCCTAAGGGATGCAGGAAGTTTCGGTAAACCCCGCAGCCTGCTGCAGCCTTCTATAGAGAGGTATTGTAGCTCAGAAAGATGCCGAATATTGTCGGGGAGTTCAATTAGGTGGGGCCACTTCTGCAAAGACAGCACTTCTAAAGATGGCAATGCATCAAATAGAACTGCCAGCTCCACGTCTCCATCTCTCTGCCTGAAATTTTGAATACGAAGCTCCACGAGTTTAAAATAACAACGCAGGGTCCGTGGAAGATGCCAAAGAATTGAAGCATCGAGCAGGAGACGATTGAGATTGCTAAGGTGATGACCAAAGGAAAGGTCGAACGAGAGTGCTGTGCAATCAGTGGCATCTATTAATTTAAGGGAGCGGGGAAGCTGTGGCAAATATTGAAGATTCCTACAACCAGTTAAATGAAGCTCTTGCAGACTCAAGAGGTGTCTGATGTTATCTGGCAGTTCAGTTAAGTTGCGGCACTCCTCGAGAGTTAGTGATTGGAGACTGCGTAAGCCATCAAATAGCACGCGTAGGTTGACATTGCCAATCATCTGCCGGTAAACACGGAGTACCTCCAGAGATGTAAAGCAACTTACTAACTCTATATTCTTCAATTTTCTATCACCGACATTGAGTCTTCTGAGCTTTGAACAACGCCCAATTGATGGGCTCAATTCTTTTATCCGAGTTCCAGTTAAATCTAAGGATGTTAGCTCTGATGATGACATTGAGAACTCCTTAAGGCTGCTGCAGCTTCTTATATCGACTTCTTTGAGAGATTTTAGATGAACCGTACTTTGGAGACTCTTAAGATCACCGCAGCTGCTTACATTCAAATAAATGAGACTGTGCAGGGATAGGAGAGATGGATGCACTTGAGGCAAAGACCAACAAAATCCTAGATCTACGCTTTCAAGACGATGAGCCTTGGAAAAATCGGGTAACTCCCTCAGCTTATAACACCAACCAAGTTTTACTCTTCTTAAATTCGCTAAATCCTGGAAACCATTAGGAAATACTAAAAAACAAATTAATAGAGGCATTACATCGGAAATCGAAGATCTCAAATATTAATTAATATTTAAAGCTGAAAATGATATATAATACCTGTACTCCGTGCCAAAGTGTTTCAACCCTGCTGTATTCCAAGTTAAGTTCAAGAAGAAGCTCGGCACAAAAATTTGATGGCAAGGACTTCCACGGGTATCCAAACCAATGAAAGTACCTTATTTTGGCAGAAATTGACTCAAGACCTGCTGGGCTAGACAAGGAAAAGCGCCCAAACTCAAGACGATTAAATTTGAGAAATTTTATTCTTGACATTTTATTAAAGGTCTTAGCAGTCAAATCCAAAGTTCTATTGATCTCATTCATATTGAACATTATACCTTCAACCTCTTTTTCTCCCTGAAAATTACAAAGTTTAGACTTTAGAGAAATAGTAAGAAAAATAAAGAACATTTTCTGGCATTGGTGACAAATAACGTTTTCTTAGAGTGAGAGAGGAGAAGGTCATCGTATTCTTACCTCACAGTTTTTCAATACATCATATATTTCATGGGGATCCCATAATCTACTCCTCTTTCCAGGTTCATTGACATTCTCTTCATGAACAATTTGCAGACCCATTTCCTGTATTAAGTCATGCATCTCAACCTTCCCATTGTTCTTGACTATTAAAGCCTTATCTATAAGGATTGGTATGCCAACAGTTGGATGGAATCCATAGCTCTCTAATAGCTCTTCTACAAATCCTTCACTTTCACCCTTTAAGAAACATGCAATGTCTAGAAAAGTTTTCTTCTCTTCATCGGCTAACTTATCATAACTCAATCTTAAAACCTCTTGAATTTTGTCATTTGGAGACCCTCCTTGTAGTTTTCTCAGCAAACCATCCCATAAACTTTTATCTTCACAGTGAACATATGAACCCAAAACTTTTAAAGCTAAGGGACTGTGTCGGGTATAACATATAAATCCTTCTATGAGCTGTTCATATCCATGTCCTGGATGGTCTGATCCAAAGGCTTTGCAGATGAAAAGTTGACGCGAATTTTGATAACTCAGTCCCTTGGCCTCATGTATTTCATAACCTTTTCCTCGAAGCAATTACCTATTTCTTGTTGTTGTAATAACTTTACTACCTTCTCCTAAGAAATTGCACATGTTATCTTGCAAACCCTCTAATTGGTCAGAACGATCAATATCATCAAGCACAACTAAGGGGGTGTTTGGATGGAGCAAAACCATGGTTTGCAGAATAGCTTTTGGAGAATAGATTCTAGAGAGAATAGATTTTGAAAGAATAGATTTTCTGGAAAAGTGATTCTGATAAAGTAAGAGTGTTTGGATAATTATTGTCAGAAGTGCTTTTTGATATGTAGAAATTACTAAAAAGGACATAAGTTTAAATGATAATTACATATAAAATATATTTCATAATATATGTTTATTTGAAGTAATAAATTTATTAATAATATATATTTTGGCAACATAATAAATATGGCATAAATAATATAAATAATAAGAAATTAGTGTGTGTATATATTAATAAAATAAATAAATATGTTTTTAGGAAAATGATTTATTTTGCTAAAGAAAATATTATTTAACCACAAAATTAAATAACCACACAAAAAAAAATTCATATTAATTGTCTTAATAATAGAGGTTGCAACGAAATATATTTGTTCAAATAGGTTTTTTTAACAACACATTACATTATCTGAAAAGAAAAAAGAAAATAAAAAGGACATAACTATTCTTGTATGTAGTGAATAATTTGATCTAACAGTATTCCTTTCGGCATCCCACCCTAAACCTGTCTCACGGAGCAGCCTATCCCATAACTGCCACTCCTTTCGCAAGGTATCATATTTGTTCTTTAATTGGATTTTCGTATAAACTCTCCCAGTCTTTGCAGCAAAGTTCTCCTCAATACTTGTCCAAGTAGGCTTTGTCAAGCTAGTTCCTCTTCTTCCCCCCTTTTCAACTTCTTCAATACACAGGTCAATAAAGACCTTTGTGGCTCTTATATCCCACGAAGCTTTGCTATTTTTTTTATTCATTATGCTATAAACCAATTACAACAGTTCAGTTATCACAAATTTAACCCAAAAAGCATACCATTCAGTCCAGGAGATATGATATAACAGGATAGTATTTATCTATAATCCAACGGTATACATATACATTAATAATTATTTTTTTTTCCCAGCATCATTTCGGTTAACTGACCCAATTTGGCTACAACCAACAAAATCCCATACATATAACACTGCAAAAGCAACCATCAAGCACAAAAGAAAAAAATTCGGCCGTCCTGTCTCCGAAATAAAATCGACCAAACGGAAATTTTGATCAACACCCACCAAATGCTCTGTCTCTCATACACACACACGAAGCACAACCAGCCATCGTATACACACACACATGATTACCATCAAACAAAATCAGCCTCTACAAGTGAGCATAGCATAGGCAATCGGTGAAACCAACATCTGATTCGGAAGAAAAAAGCGACGCTGACGGAACCTCTGTTTCGGGGAAAAAATTGACGGGACACAGAATTTCTAATGCACCAGATCTCCAGCCACAATGACCGACGGAAGAAGACAGCTTACCGGAAGGAGTTGGATCTAACCGACGGAAGAAGACACGGCGACCAGAGCTTCGGAAGGGGCGACGGTGGAAGAATCAACTGACTTCAGATGAACTGACCAGCGACGATACCGGAAATGGAAGGCTTGGATCAGGCAACCCAATACACGATCTTCTTCTCGGAGGCCGAACAATGGGTCTTGACCATGAGCTGAAGGAACCCCGCGTGCTTGTTTTCTTCACCGTGGAGCTGACCGTTGAGCCTCGGGAGATTGTTGGGGAGAGCCTATTCTGGAAACCACGGGAGCTGAATTGTTGGGGAGAGCCAATAATTGAACCCCCGCTTGCTTATCTGGAAACCGAGGTTTTGTTGGCAAAACCTTGGTTTTGCCCAAAACCTCGGTTTTAAAAAAAATGGGGGTGTTTGGCAAATTTTTTGCCAAACCAAGGTTTGGCAAACCAAACCATGGTTTGGCTTTTTTGCCAAACACCCCCTAAAGCTTTTTTCTTACCAAGCCTTCTGGTAACAAAGGCATTTCTTAAACCATTTGATGGGTTACTTGGCATATCTTGCCCTAGCAGCTTCGAGACAAGATAGCTACAAACACTTCCCAATCCACTTTTTTCTGTTTTTTCCCTAATATTTTCTAAGAAGCAACAAGTGTCATACTGAGAAGATAATTTGGCAAATACAGCATTTGCCATTGTGGTCTTACCCACACCGCCCATCCCCCAAATTCCAACTCTCTGAGATTTTCCCAATAACTCTTCAATGGGTTTGATCATTTCATCCCTTCCAATCACATCTTTTAATGTTTGTCGACAATTATGTATTTGTTCCAGTTTTGTGTTGACATCAGTGACAATTCCTTGAATTAAATTGGATTCATCCCTGTTGAACAAAGCAAAAAAAAAAAAAAAAAAACAGAGTAAACCATCAATTTTACATACCAAGCTGCCACTTTGGGTGGGATACTCGGGCAATACTTACATTTTGGATGACTTTGATCGAGGAATACTTACGTGAAGTCTTGGCAGTGCCTGCCGCTTAAAGAGCCAGCTTCGGAAAGAGCTGCTTTCCACCCGTTCACTCTTTCTGGATCATGCATGAAATCTTTCTCATGTTGTTCAAATGCCCTCTCATAAGCTCCGGTCTGCTTTCGAATATGTGAGGGGTCAACTTTGTAGAAGATGGGTAAAACAAACTGGCCCTCATCCTTTCTGCACCGCATGATTTGGGCGAGTTCATCCAGGCACCATCTTGAGGAAGCGTAGTCTTTTGAGAAGACTATGATAGATACACTGGAATCCTTGATTGCGTGGATGAGTGATGGCGTGATTTCATCACCTTTCTCTATCTGCTTATCGTCACGAAAGGACAAAACAAATTCTCGGTTGAGGGCAGCATGAAGATGGCTGGTGAAGTTGTTGCGGGTTTCGCCTCTAAAACTTACAAACGCATCATACTTTCTTGGAGCATTCAAACTAGAGCCAGAGCTTGAGGAAGCAGAAACCATTGCAGTTTGTTTCAAGGTGCAGGAAGAACAGTTTACACACTCTTTCTGCCGCCGCTTCAATAGACTTGACTCAGTCTTTAAGTCTTCTGAGCTAAATGACGCGGCAAGTCGGCAATTGATACCCCCCCCCCCCAACTTTTTAGTCTTTTCGCGTTGGAATACAATTCCGATCCCCTCCCCCAAAACAAGAAAATCTTACCTTTGTTTCTGGCCCTGGATAATTTGGACATGTGAATAAAGTAGATGCATTTTATAGATAATAATTTGAGCAGGATCCAGATGAAAACATCGCTATTTTAACATACTTTGAGTAGTATTATTTATGACTTACAAATAGTAATGCTTATGAAGTCTAAGTCTTTGGGGAAATTGCAAAAGGTTGTGCGTAATTAAGGTCCAACAAAATGTGTGGCCTACCTTTAAAAGTTGATATTGATGCTTCACGCCAATTGCTGTGTTACTTCTCTGCAATTTCCTGTCTGATTAACATGGCCGGGTGGAATAATAATACTCCTTTCATTTTGATTCATAATTCTTTTTCAAAAATTACAGAAGTGTCCAATTTTATCATTATTTAAAATCGCTTGATGTAACTTTTTAAAAAAATGAATTAACATTAACAAAATACAATATAAAGCATATTCAAAAACTTTAATGTAAAACTCACTTTGAAGGAGTAAGAGCTCACTCTCTGTTTTCTTTGCTTTGTAAGAGCTCACACCAACATGTTCACCCGTCAAAAGCAAACTTATCTTGTTCACCTGCCAAAATTTTCACTGACAAGGAGTTTATAAAATCATCATTTCCCCTGCAATGGACTTACTCAGCTGATGAAAAAGGAAAAAAAAAAATCCAAAGTTCACTTCCTTATGACAAATAGAAACACCGACTGATCATCTACAAGAATGTTTATCACATCCGCTTAGAGTTTAAAAAAATGATACTGTCTCTTGTTTTAAATATAAAAGATAGATAATTAATTTTAAAATATTAAGAAAATTAATTAAGTTTGTGTTGACTTTTGTAAACTATTCTATTTAATCATATATTGGAACTATCCTTAATGAAAATCCTTTATCATCAATAGAAATATTTTAGAGAAAAACTATAAACTTGAAAAACAAAGTGGATTGAGATTTTAAATTTAAGATCAAACAAAATAGATATAATAATTTAATGATGATTTTCAGTAATATTTTATAGAAAAGATTTTAGAAAAAGAACTTTAAAATTATTAGAGTTTTAATTTTAATTGTTAGAGATCGTAGGGTCAATTGTGTTTGAAAGCGTGTTAAAGTTTTGATTAATATGTATTACTTTTTGGACCAAAACAATATTTGTTATTTAAAGCTCAAGTCTTTGCCAGAATTGGATGGTTAGCTTCCATATTAAAGTGGTGCATGTCCTCATTGGAAAAAGGTGTAAATGGCGGGAAGAATAAATGACCCGTCATTTACGGTTTATCCGCGAAATTGGACGGATGGAACAGAAAGTAAATATGGCCAGCTTTTAAGAACAAAAGATAAAATTATTAGTCAATTGATATGAAGTCAAAAGTCACTCTTTGTTATGGAAAAACCATAAGTCACTTTGATAAGGGAACACTTGCATACGTGAAGGGCTGGCGCTCCGGCAGCTTCCGGGAAAGGAAGGTTTTGCATCTGGCCATTTGATGAGTGAAAGTGGGTGCTATAATTTAGTGAATTACTATAGCAACTTGGTGATTTCTGATTTAAATATGTTTCATTTTTTAAATCTCCACGGCTAATTGAGTGCTAATTATTTTTGTCGGCCACAGAAGATAATGTGTGAGTAGGAGGCGCAAATGATGGGTAGGTTACATATTTAAAATGCATTATTTGATGCTCCTCCTTTAGTGGTTATTTCATCGGGCTTTTCTCACCGCAAACGAATAGCAGTTGCTTTAACGTAAACGTTCATTTAGCTTAATAAACCCCCCCTCCCCCAAAAAAAAAAGTCAATCCAAACACAAATAACATGGGTCTTCCATGATTTTCCATTAAAAAGCCACTCAATTGGGATGGCTGAAAATTCATTCCAAACACAACTTAGACCCCCCCTGCGCGGGGATACAAGCAACTTCAATTTTATTTACATAACAAATGACCAAAACTCCATTTTGCTGACCATAAACTTAAAAAAACTAAAACAAGTAATGAAATACTAACATACTCATGTGATATCCATTATTACTACTACTACAGATATAGTCATTAATAGGCAAATAAATTATTTATTCTTTAAAAAATTTTACAGGACTAAAATCTTGGAATAGATATCTTTCTTGTAAATTGCATAATTTTCAACACTTAATTGAAATTTTAAGTTGCAATTTTGGGTGAGGTTGTACTTTTGAGCAGGCATATATACTACCTTGATCTTAAATATAAAAATTAGATAGCTAATTTTTAAACATTAAAAACTTCTTTAAGTTAGTTGTTTATAGAAAAAAAATGTATGTTATTTTTCCTCGAATATCTCATCTAATTAGTTATATATATGCATTATATAATTAATTTGGAGAAGAATTATACCAAAAAAAATATAGATTAAGGTGTCATATTTAAAATCAAAATAAATTTCTCAACTAGTTTCAGATTAGAGTGATTATTTCTTAGAAAGATGACTGTGTTTGAGGAACTATATCACTGTTTTGTAAGAATGGATCTTTTTTCTAATAACCACAAATCTAATTATCCCATATAAACTTTAATCTGAACTGTTTAATATTTGTAAACATTATTGCTTGTAATTAGAGTTTTAATAGTACTCAAAACCTAACTCATACAAACTTTTATGTATAAAAAACAAAATCATAACAAATTCAAGCGATCAATATTACGCAACTTACAGATTTGGAATCACCATTCAGGTTTCGGTTCCCCCACCCCCAAACAAAAACACACGCTGGCAAGGATTAAAGAATAAGGAGAATGCTTCAATTTCTGATTTTGTTTCAATTACAAATAGGTATTTGTTAGTTGTTACTTGTTACCCCTCTAATCTTGAATGTAAATTCTTATTAATTAATTTACACAAATCATTAATTAAGTTAGTAATTTGTCATTATATAAAAATTATGGATCACTTTTTCTACAAATTATGTGAGAGATAGAGAGGAAAACATGTGAAATTAATGAAAATAATACTGAAAAATACTCGGGGATAAAGTTTTATTACGTAATTTTGGCAACTGCTATATTACACTTGGCGCTAAAAAGGTAATCTACTTCTTTCATGGCCACAGCCATAAAGAACAACACTAGTTCTTCCATGTAAAGTCACGAAAATAAAAAGCAGCATGGCTTGGCATTTTCCTATTATTTCCCTTTTAAATATAAAATTTAGATAGTTAATTTGTAAGTATTAAGAATTAAATAAATCATTTGTAAAAGCATATATGTTAGTTTTTCAAAAGTATTTCACCTCATCAATCATTTAATTACAATAAACTATCATAATTGACGAAAATTCTTTTTACATGCACAACCAAATAAGGATAATTAATTTGGGAAAAAAATTATAAATTTAGGAACAAAAGCAAATTAATGTCTTGTATTTGGAATTCAAAGTAAACCTATCAATTAGCTCTTATATTTAAAATCAGAGTAATTATTTTCTAGATAAACGTATTTGAGGAACATTTACTGTTTTGTAAGAATGATTTTTTTTAATAACCATAAATCTAAATATCCGATATAAGTCTCAATCTGAAACGGTTTTACATTTGTAAACATCACTGCTTGCAAGTGCTTTTATAGTATATATAAATTTTTTTTTTGGAAAAAAAATCCTTCACATGATGGCTTTTGTCTTATGAGGGAACCGTTGGCAAATTGCTCTGAAACTTCATGCAAGTTTCATGGACTATTTGATGAACAAAAATGTAAATTTCACTTACCAAGAAACTGTTGGTTGAAATGATAAGTGGCTTCATCTCCATAAAGAAAAGAAAAAAAGAACACAAATTCGTATCTTAGGAAGCACATTTATTGGGAGGACTTTAACTTAAATACTCTCAAGCTAACAGAAATTAGTCTCAAGCCTAAAAGGACTTGAAGATACTCTTGAGTTTTAAAAAAAAAATGCAAGTTCTACTTTCATTAAAAAAAAAAAAAGAACACAAATTCGTATCTTGGGAAGCACATTTATTGGGAGGACTTTAACTTAAATACTCTCAAGCTATCAGAAATTAGTCTCAAGCCTAAAAGGACTTGAAGACATTCTTGAGTTTAAAAAAAAAATGCAAGTTCTACTTTCATTAATGAAAAAAAAAAATCAAAAGTCACTTTGATAAAGGAAAACTTATGTTGAAGGGCTGGCAGCTTCCAGGAAGGGAAGATTTTGCGTCTAACCATTTGATTAGGGAAAGTGGGTGTTATAATTTAATGAATTACAAAAGCGACTTAGTGATGGTTGATTTAAATATGGTTTTCATTTTTAAATCATCACGGCCAACTGAGTGCTTGTTTTTGTCGGCCGCAGAGAAGATGAAATGATGGGTAGGTTAAAATTTAAAATGCATTTTGATGCTCCTTTAACGATTCTTCATGTTTATTGGAAGCCGACGAAGATGAAGAAGCTGCAACAACCATGGTGCTATTCAAGGTTTTCTTTTTTGCAGTAAGGATGGAGTATGGCAATGAACAGGCTTCTTTCGAGCCAAATATAAGGCTCAGTTAATTACCACAATTACCATATACTATTTCGGTTCCTTAATATAATTTCAGCCCCAGCTAACTAATTTCAAAAGATTAAAAAAGTTAAATGAATTGCTTTAAAGTGTTATATTTATAGTGTTTTTCCAGACTAATGTGTCGGGTTATAAACTAATATATACAGTCTGATGGGATATACAAGTATTTTTTTAGAGAAATCATATAACATATACTATAATTAAATACTAATATTTTAACTTTCTTAATTTTCTCAGATTAATCAATTGAGTTTTATATTAAGGAGTTGAATTGGCTTGTGAA